ATATACACATACACATACATATGACTTATGTTAGAAATCTAGTTTCCACATTTTCTAGCTACATGATCCCAAGTAAGTAACTTCCTGAGTTTTTCCTTCCCCGTCTGAGTACTACTGCAATATTCTTGTGAGAATTAAACAAAACTCACATTATAAAAGAAACAGTACATGGTACATAGTTAATAACTATTAACTCCTTCCTCCCTCTTGTTTCTAATTGAATAAATTTAATTCTCCATCTCCTTTCCTTTGTATACCTTTCTAAAAACTAAGTTCTAGGTCACTGGATGTTTATTTTGTACATGTGCACGTGATCATATTCATGAATCCAATTCCTTCACAGAGATGGTTCTGAATGATTTGTGTTTAGATTTCACCCTAAATGTCTAGGTCCTTATCTCTTAAGTTTTGCTATATTTTAATTTGCTGTAAGGCACCACTTGCCATATCAAACTTACTTTTTTCCTCAGTAAAAGAATGGAAAGCAAAAGACTGGTAGTACAGATTGCACAAAAGCAGAACTGATGAGATGCATCACAGAGAAGCAGCTAATTTCATGGTTTTAAATCTCCCAGGAACCAAGTTCAATCCTTGGTACCAACAAAACAAAACAAAACAAAAATGAGAGCGAGGTGTGGTGGCGCATGCCTGTAATCCCAGTACTGGAGAACTGCTTGAGTTGGAGCCCAGCCTGGGCCACAAATGAGTTCAAGGCCAGCCTGGACTTGCATAACAAACCAAAAGAAAAATAATAGGCAGTAAACTGTAGTAGTCCTTCTATTTTTTAGCCTAGAAAGTCCAAAATATTCTTTAGTGGCACTTGTATTTACTTACATATTCCATTCACCTAATAATGATTTATACATCATCTTTTATCAATTTTATAAATTTACATCTTATCTTCATAACTATTCTGTAGATTCTTTAAATGCAAATACCTTCTCTTATACTTTTAATATTCTTCAAAATGCCAATAAATACCGATGAAGATATGATCAAGAACTTACTTAATTATGCATAAAGATATTTTCAGATGTTTCTGTGACATGAAAGGAAAACTTTTTCAAATTAAATGCTTAGGAGTTCTTCCATAAATAGAGAAAGTATTACTTTTCTGTCTTGGCTTTAAACAGAAAAAATAAAACAACAAAAAAAGCCTTCTATATAAACTTCGTTAGCCATGAGTCAAACATTTATATTTTTAAAATGATTAGTAGTTATTATTTTTGTTTCTATTGGAAAACAATCTTAAAACTACAATATATGTCTCTAAAACCACTTAATATAGTTTATCAAATATTAATTTAAAACTTCTAAAATTGAGATAATAAAAAAATTTAAAAACAAAGCAACAAACTTTTTTGTTTGGATATATTTCAAATCCAAGAAACATTTTACATTCTATTTTCTTTACTGTGATCAAAACAGAGAAACTGAAAGATAATAAAACTGATTGTGATTTGCTTATTTTACCTGAGTGGCTTTATCTTTCATGCATGAAGGGTAGTGAACATGAGGATCTCGAGGCCACTGTCCTGTGAGGTAAGGTCCTGTTATCGTATCCAAGGAAGAAGTTCGCCTTATTGTACTGGAAGTTCGAACTTGTTGAGATTTTGGCCTGTCTACTATAAAAAGTAAAGAAAAAAAAAAGAAGTTAAGCTTAAAAATTAAACTTCCCAGTTTGTAAATGTTGTCTTTCCAATTTTCTCTACAATTTATATTAACCCTGATACCCCTGTTATATGATCTGAGGAAATTTATGGAGTCTTTCTCAAGGAAAACACATTCATATAACAAATCTTACATAGACTTACGTGGCTTTTATATACCCTCTGAAGCCCATCCACTTTAGAGATCTATAATAAAATGAACATCTCTCTATGGCCATTATTTAATTAGGCCTCCAATATGACACATGAACTGCCAGTTTTATAACTGCTATTTCTGTATCCATTTCAAGTAAATCTACCATGCCTCCCTCCATCCCTGCTAGAAAAACATTTCCATGGTTAATCAATGCCTTTAACTTAAAGCCCATATGCTTTAGTATGACACAAAACACTTTTACAGTCTTGCTTCTATGCATCTCAATGCTTGTTATTTTACTACTTCACTATAAGCTCATGTTAAGTGTCATATGAATGGCTTGCATTTTTTCAAAAGTAAAATGCACCATCTCTGCCACTGTATCTTCTATTTCCCAAGTTTCTCTTTTTCCTTATTCACTTCACAAACTCTTTATTAATTTTAAGACCTGGTGAGATGTCCAGACTGCTTCTATGGAAGCTTCCCAAACTTCTTTCCTCTCCTTCCTTCTCAGCTCAGGATATACATACTCACTCCCCTCTGCTTTCATGGTACCTGCTACACTCGTCACTCTCCCTTATAAGAGCATGACTTCAGACCCTATAGACTGAAAAGGAGTTGATGTTAAATATTTATTCACACTACACAAAAATAAACATGTATAAAAGCCTTTATAGTTAACTCAAATTCCTCAATTATTGATGAAGAACTTCAAGTGTAGAAGGACTAAACTGTACAGTGAAAGATAGCTGCTAAAAAGAGCTGGAGGTAAAAAAAGAACCAAGCTCTCCAGCCATTCTACACAGTTCAAACAATCTTCTCTTAACAATTTACTTCTTTTCTCCAGATGGATAGCAAAATTATCTCTGTTAATAAGGAAACTACAGAAGATTTTTCCACGTATCCATCCCAAATAATTTACTACTATGTACCCCATAATAAAATAATAAAGTTCAATGTTATTAGCTTAGTCTTTTTATGAATAATCAAGATAAACATTGTTTTTAAAAGATATAGTTCCTTACATCTTATACATCAACTAAAGTAAAAATACAGAAAATCATACTACAGTTTGATCTGTTATTTAAAAAAGTAACCTAAATCCCATGCAACTGAGGTTTTGTTTATAAAGTCTTTGCCTACACCAATGTCTTCAAGAGTTCTAGCACAAAGAATCAACAACTGGGATCCAACTTATTAAAAAGCCTTTGAACTGCAAGAGAAAACACCAACAGCGTGAAAAGACAACCCACAATGTGGGGAAAAAAATTTACTAGCTGTTCCTCAGACAAAGGGCTATTATCTAGAATATATAAAGAACTTCAAAAATCAGGAACCCTCCCCACCAAATTTAAAGACCCAATGGAAACATGGGCATCTGAAATGAATAGACATTTCTCAGATGAAGAAGTAGAATTAGCAAATAAACATATGAAAGAATTTTCAACATCACTGGCTATTTGAGAGATGCAGATGAAGACAATGCTGAGATTCCACCTCACCTCAGAAAGAATGGCTGCTAGCAAGAAATCAACCATTAACAAACAAATGCTGGTGAGGCTGCAGGGAAAAAGGAACCCTTTTCCACTGTTTGTGTAGGCTGGTGCAACCACTGTAGAAATCAGTATGGGGATTTCTAAAAAAAACTAGGATTACAGGTCCCATTTGACCCAGCTATTCCACTTCTGGTTATATTCCCAAAAGAATTGAAAACATCAGGCCTGGGATTTAGCTAAAGGGCACTGCACCTGCCTCACAAGCACAAGGTCCTGTGTTCAATCCCTAGTACAAAAATGAAAAGAAAAAGATCATACCACAGTGATATATGCACTCTATCATACACTCTCTTGCCTCCTGGGAAGATATGTAAACTAATGTAAACTTATATAAACTGCCTTTAGTCTAGTACTAGGCATTTCTACTGATTCTTTAAAACTATTTTCCTGGTTATAAAAGCAATCCCTATTACTTTAGGACTTTTTAAAAACAAAGTTAATGTATCTGCTATAATCATTTAAAATTTTTAAAAGTTACTTTACATTCCCTTTATGGAGAAGAAACAAAACAAATTGTCTCTTAAAAGATAAAGCCAACATTTATAGGAGTTGCTCACTAATTAAAAAGGCCTATATAAAGGTTAGCTATAAACAGAAAAATAAAAGCTATTACATGTGAAAAACTTGTGCCTATAAACTTATCCAAACTGTTTGAAAAAATGTGCATTGTCTATTAGCCATTAAAACTCTTAAGCAACAGTGATTTTATGTTTATGCTGTTAAATATCTGAACAATCTCTAAATAAGACGCTTCCTAGGTAAAATAACAATATTTTAATCTATAATCACCACTTTTTCTTGTATTTTAAATCATCAGACCTCTGACTATCACTTTAGGATCACATCTCTCCCCTGTCAATCTCTATGATTAGATAGCTACTTAGAATTATAATCTTCAATATTTTGACTGAATATTCCTATAGGTAAATATGTTGGTATAGAGCAAAATGTGTACTTATGAATTGGATTGATAAGATATTACTAAACTATATGTGTATTGGAAAGGAAAAAGTAGAAATTTACATAGGTGAAATTTTAAAAAAAACAAAAGAATTCTATTGCCTCGTGCACCTCAAGGGTCTCCTCACTTCAAGGTGAAAACCACTAAGATAAGGACCTGAAATTGAGGGCTAAATTTAATCTACAGATTATCCAGTGTGACAGTTCATCTTAATTATAAATCTTACTGGAGAGGTGATGGCATAAGGGGCGTTATGCTCATTAGTGGATTAATCGTGTCCTGTTCAAAGCTAAATGTGCTTTTAGGAGGTGGGGCCCAGATGGATGTGGGTCAGCCGGGTCATGTCTTTGGAAGGTGTATCTTTCCCTGGTTTTCTTCCTCTGTACTCTGCTTCACGGCTAGTATGTCATGAGCAACTCTGCTTTACCCTTTCACCATGTTTCTGTCTTGAAGTCAGCCAACTACAGACTGAAATCACTGAAAACATGAGCCAAAGTAAACTGCTCTGCCTTTAAATTTCAGGTATTAAGTATTTCATGCCAGCAGTGGGAAAGCAGGCTAACACAAACATTTAGCACTGGAGTTGTGAAGTCACTGCTGTGACTGCACTTGACCACGTGGTTCAGAAATCTTTGGAAATGGCTTGTGGAAGGAGTTTGGAAAGATATGGTTATATAGGCTAGAAGAGCTCTAGAATGTTATAATGCAGAACTTGACGGATGATTCTGGTTGGAGCTCAGAAGATCATAATGCTGATAGGAAGGTGGACAGTATAAAGGTCAAGCTCTTGAGGTTTTAGTCACGAACAAAGATATTATCAGAAATAGGACTCAAGGTGATGGGTTTTATAATCTGCTAAGAAACTGTGTCCATGTTCTAAGACTTTGAGGGAGAATGAATTTAAAAATAGACAAATTGATGCAGCAGAAGAAATTTAAAGGCAGCCTCTGCCTTTAAAGCTGTTTTTAGCCAGATTTATACCAAGAAACAGGAGCAAATGTAGAGCCAAAAGATTCAAAACTGCAGTCCCTGGAAATAAACCACTCATTCAGAAACATTCTTTTCTTTTTAAACATTGGGAGGTTTTTTTTTTGGAGGGGGAAGGTTGGGTTTTTTTCCTTCCTTTACTGTATTTTACTACCTTTTGATTTTTATGTTGTTCTTTTTCTTGTTTGGTCTTTGCTGGTTATCTAATTCAGTTGATTCTTTTACGTATTTTTTTTGAGACAGGGTCTTTGCTCTGTAGTTCAGGCTGTCCTCGAGCTCATTATGTAGCCCAGGCTGGCCTTGAACTTGCACCCATCCTCCTGGATCAGCCTCCCTTCCGAGTGCTGGGATGACAGACATGCAACACCACACCCAGCCTCTTCTACTTAATAGGATCTTTCATCTCTCTTCTCTCACATCAGTCTAATCTTTGCTTTATTTTTCAATTTTTTAATCTTTAAATTTCCCATTCCACACCACTTCATCTTTACTAGTATAATCATTAAGCTTTATTAATCTTTAGATATTTAGTTAACTCTATAGAATTATTGTTAAATTCTTTTGTAATGTTAATAGCAGTATAGATGTACATTTAGTGGATATTTACTGGATATCACTATGTAGTTTGTCTTTGAGTCTGTATTATAATTATAGACCTCTTTTCCTTAGTTAAGTGGTAGCTTTTATTGGTTCTTATGTTATGTCAATATCAAGTTTTCCTCTGATTATTATTGTTGCTGATTTTGTTGCTATTGCCAGGGTCACATGGTGGTTGCTATTAATTTGTTTATACTGTATGCCAATAACTGGTGTGTCTTTGTGTCAACAATACTGTGGTTCATTTAGAAGGAATTGGGTGCTACAAAATCCTCTCCCAGATTAATGGAGGTGGTCAAATCTTGGGACAGAGGCAAAAATCTATAGTTAGCCATGCCTACAGCACATTGCTGAAAAGCAAACATTAACTGAAAAAGCCTACATACTACTCCATACTAGCAACAAAGTTAACTATAACAAAACTCAGAGTGCATGTACACACAGAAACATGAAAAGATAAGACAACAAAATGCCTCCAAAAACTTCCAACTCTCCCAAAGCTGAGCCACAGGGCATCAATGGGAAGAAAAGCAAAAGTCAAACAGCTTAACTGGGCCTGCCATTTAGCTCAGTGGCACCATGCCTGCCTTGCAAGCACAAGGCCCTGAGTTTGAGCCCCAGTACCGAGAAATTAAAAAATTCTATTGAAAGTATGGGCAGCAGAAGTGAACAAAGTGAGGACACAGTGTCAGAACTACAAGATAGGGCTCATTCAGGTGATCCTATACTCAGATACCTTAAACACAACAAGAGAACATGGAAAATAGATCAAATAGCTGCTGACTCAAACAAAAGTAATCTAGATTAACTGGAATATGCAAAAAAGCAGAAGACAACACAAATGGCATTAAAAAAACTTGTTTTCAGACATAACAATAGGCTAGGCATGGTGGCCTATGCCTTTAAACCCAGCACTTAGGAAGCTGAGGCAGAACTGCCATGAGTTTGAGGCCAGCCTGGGCTATAAAGTGAGATCCTGTTTAAAAAAAAAAAAAAAAAAGAAAGAAAACTTTTCAAATATAGGGAAAGAATTTAATATACAGATAAGCAAGGCATATAAAGCCCAAAGAGCCATGTTCCCCAGAATACATCATAGATAAAAACCATAGAAATCCAACACAAGGACAGAATCTCAATAGCTAAAATAAACCCAAAAGAATTATAGCAGACTTTTCTTTCTCTATCTCCTTCTTTCTTTCTTTCTTTCTTTCTTTCTTTCTTTCTTTCTTTCTTTCTTTCTTTCTTTCTTTCTTTCTCTTTCTTTCTTTTCTATCTTTCTTTCCTTCCTTCCTCTTCCTCTTATGATACAGAGTCTCGCTATATAGTTCAGGTTGCCCTTGAACTCATTATGTAGCCAGGCTGGCCTCGAACTCATAGCAATACTCCTGCCTCAACCTCCCAACTTCTGGGATTACAGGCATGCACCATTAGACCCAGTTCTAGCAGACTTTTCAAACAAATGTTAAAGGCCAGGAAAGCTTGGAGTGAAGTGTTTTAATACCTAAAACAACCTCCAAACGAGACTGATACATTCTGCAAAAGTATCTTATAATTGAGAAATAAGATATTGGCTTAAATAATTAAATATGAATATAATTATAAATATGTTTATGAAACACCAGTGCATCCAACACCATAAAACAAACACT